AATGATTTTCTGCCCCCATCACTTCAAAGAATAAAAGCACAGATGACTAAAGCACAAAAAAAACCAAAATATTCAATTGAGATGGTATTACATGCTGGTATAAAACAACTATTTGAAAGGTTTGCCTTAGTTCTAAATAAACTTGCTGCAAAACCAATTATATTGCAATAGCTTAATCTATGCAATGTCAATAACAAGTTTGAGGGCCTCCCAAGAAGCATCACTATGGTCCAGCAAGCTAACCACATCCTAGTACCATTCAAGAAGGGCAGCAGTTTTAGGCTCTCTTTCGTATCAATATGAAGGAAGGTATGGTTCAGCAGTCCTCCTTGACAAGTACACGTGTCAGCAGCACAACACCTCACTATGGATGAGTATGTACAGCAATAGTAGTAGAAAAATCATATTACACTATAACCATGTGTCCTTCTGTTAACATGTAGCAAGTTTCTGAGGCTAGAGCAACACAGCTGTCCTAGCTTAGCACTACCAATGGACACCACACTGAGGGGCGCAGAAGCAGCCCATTGAGCAGCGCACAAGTATCCTGTTTTCGGCTAGGACAGAATTTTCTCCCAGATAGCTGGTGCAGCGCTGTGTTTGGGCTTTAGTCTGAGAACGGTGCTGATAATACGCTGATGGTTTAGTTGTTGCTCAGTAGCACTTTCCCTGATCAAGGACTTTCCAGTCTCATGCTCTGCCTGTGAGGAAGGACACAGGAAGCTGGGAAGAAGCAGAGAAGCAGAGACAGGATCCCTGAACCAAACTAGCCAAAGAGTTATTCTGTACCACAGCACATCATGCCCAGTATAGAAACTGGGGGAGTTGGCTGGAAAGGACTGATCACTACTTGGGTCAGGCTGAGCATCAGTCCAAGTGCGTGGTGAGCAATTGTATTGTGCATCACTGCTATTTGTTGGTTGATACGGGTTTTTTTTTGTTTAGTTTTCTCTTTCTCTCTCTCTCTCCTTGCTATTTCCCTTTTGATTAGTAATAGTAATATATTGTACTTTATTTTAAATATTAAGCTGTTCTTATCTCAGTCCATGGGGTTTACTTTTTCCTCCAGATCCTCCTCCCCATACCACTAGCAGGGTAGCAGGGCGAAGGGGGTGAGCAGGCGTCTGCACAGTACTTGGTTGCCAGCCGAGGTTACACAAGAACAGGCAAACCAGCTGTCCTGAGAGACTGCACTGAGAGCAAATGCTTCTACAAACCCTAATGTACACCAAGACCTCTGACGTTGCACTGGCACAGATGCAGCAGACGGCTTCACAAATAGGGTTATGACAGCTCACCCAGGCTACAGGAGTTAAGGGACATCTTCAGAGCAGACTGATGAACCAGCCCCTTTGTGGCTCCATCTCCCAGGACCTGACTAGATCACTTTAACTCTGCATAATCTCACTTCATCTGAAGAAAACCCAAAAAACACTTGCCTAGGAGACTTCTTCACACGTTCATTGCCTTCTGCATGTTTCCTGGCATCTGGTCTGAGTTTGTGAATCCTTAATTTCCACTGATTCATCCCCATAGACACACACCCACCCTCCCCTTCAGGACTAAATTGCAAACAGTAACCTGACAGAGGTGGGTATCTCTCTAAAGATTTTATACCCAGACATCCACTATATTCACTTTTTGGTTTGGTTTTCTTTCCACAGACAATTCCAAGATAGTGAAGTTTGGGCTTTCAGTGCCGTTTTGCTGTTGTTGTTGGGTTTTGGGTAGCTTTCTTTTACAGTTCATCCAGTTTTCCTGCTGATATCCATCCACACCATCTAGTAGATTTACACTACATTATTTAAAATATTATAATCTTCCTGCAACTGATACAATGGCACCAAATGCAAGTGCCTAAATTGGTACAAACTAAAAGCTCTGCTTCTTTTCTGAAGTTACAAAACCAAAATATTTTCTTCCAGTGTTTTGAAGTATCATAACAACACTTGCCTGCATTTGTTATTTTGCATTCATTGTTCTGTCAGGTGCAACTGGAAAACCCTCACAGAACCAATTCAGGGTTCGTCCCACAGGGCAACACGGCATCCTGAACAATTCCAAAATGTGATTTTTCCTTCATTTGTCTTGTCTGATTACATTCAGAGTCCACTTTGGGTTTGGGTCTACATAAACTTGGCTTTCATGGGTAATTTGTGTATCAATAGCTTTTTGGATTTCATTTGCAAGCATAACAGTGGTATTGTCTTGACAAACCCCTGACAACCTGCGTTGTAGTGTTGTCTGTGTAAGGCCTGAGCTGCTTTTTTAACTTGAACACATTTATGACATTATCTACTTTGTTATGGGGCTTTATGGCTAGACTTGAACATAATAATGCTTTTATGAACACCCATGACCCCAGTAGTCTTTTGAGTAATGGTTAACCATGCTGATGCATTATTCTTTTCCAAAATAACTACAAGCTCTCAGAAGTACAATGTTCTTCGTCCTCATTCACACCCTCTCCATGTGACTGTCAGCTGACTTAGTGCTTACACAATTTGTCTGTGTTTAACTAATGCAAAAACAGTTACGCCCCATAAACTGTGGGCAGGGTAGTTCTACAGACAATGCAGGGGGTAATGCTTATCTTGGAGGTTAAATATATTTCAATGAGAAGAGATACTTCCAGATCAGGTGGAGCCCATGAATCTCTTTGCACACACACATGGATCTGAATCAGTGCATACGATTGCAGCTACAGATATTCTCAAGGTTGCCTGCAATATCCTTAGATAGTCTTCAGTACATTCTCAGTCCCACTTAAAAAACACCAGAATCATTCCTGCCTCTAAATAATTACCAAATGAAAACACAGATGCCGTTATAGGCAATAAAGGCACATCCTCAGATCTGAAATGGGATGAATGACACAAGATTACATACAACTTTGCTGTGAGCCCCATGTAAGTAGTGAGGAAAGAAAAGACTCATGAAAAAAAATGTGAATTTAAGCTACTTGCTGGCTTACTAGTTCTCCAAAAAGAAAACATCTTCTAACTGATTATTGCATTTGGTCTTGTTCCCATACCTTATTTTTCTGTCTTCTGCAATACATGCTAGTAATTCCTTTTCAATTATTCTAAATTCATAAAATATAACAGTGTCTTGATGATAGTTACACTACTATATACTTTTGGCACTCTATATATTAGTATTTTCAACACTCAACACCCGAATGTCTGAGAATATAAGTACCAGTTGAAATATAGTTTCCTGTTTTTAACACATGGCACACTCATAAAATTATTAGTCTCCAAATCATGTTTCCCAAATTTTTTACCAGTCTCCAGCATCATTTATGTATCACCACTTCTGGAAACCCTAGATATATGTAGCACCTACCCAAGCAGATCTGCAAGCTACCAAAGTTATCAACAAATGAGATACTTTCCTATGGAAGCTGGTAGAATTCCATACTGCAAGTGCTATTTGGAGAACCAAAGCTACTGCACAAAGACAGACCACTTACATCAGCTGGTTGCATAAGTACATCTTTCTGTCAAACTGTTTCCCTTTTACTTCCCCTGAAGTGATGTAAGTTAGATATAAGGAAGTCCTTTAGTGTGAGGGTGCTGAGGTGCTGGCACAGGGTGCCCAGAGAAGCTGTGGCTGCCCCATCCCTGGCAGTGTTCAAGGCCAGGCTGGATGGGGCTTGGAGCTACCTGGTCTAATAGACGATGTCCCTGCCCATAGCAAGGGGTTGGAACTGGATGATCTTAAGGTCCTTTCCAACCAAAACCATTCTATGATTCTAGACCACCATTACTATAATACTATTACTAATCATTACTGAATGTATAGAGTTGATGAAACCCTTCAGAAGGTAATAACTTACTTGGAAGCTTAATTACTACTATATGTACTTTGTACATGTAAAAATTAAAACCTGTATTTATGAAGGATACCACAACACAGGGATTTTCAAAAGCGCAAGTACCATTTTCACTCCAAATGGGAGATGCTCAGCCAAATGACACTTGTATTTACTAGAATTTCCCCAAGTAGCCTGACAAATCTCCAAGTCATTTATTAAGTAAAGGTTCTTCTCTTGGATTTAGTTGTATTTTTTGGCAGCAGTGGGACAAACAAATTCTTGCACAAGGCCAAACATTAAGTCAACCACACAGGTAGTACAACTACATCTGTGGTCTCTAGAAGTTCAGTGCTCTAACAACAAAAATTCTGCCTTCACAGATAGCAAGTACTAATCAAAAGTTTTAGTTAAAAGCAGGGAATGTTGCCCTTTAGTTGAAAGCAGGGACTATTATACTATGAGGGTGGTTCTGGCAAAATAAAGCCTTCCAAGACTGCTAGATTTAGGCTGCAACACTGTAAATGATTTTGATTTACCCAAATCTAGGGATGGGGAAATTTTCAGTCATCTGAGAAAATGGAAATACTGATCTCCCCTTATGTCAAAGGGACTCCGGTATTCTAAAAACTAACAAAACTTTGGTAACGAAACTGATCTGGATGGAAACTGCCTACAGCACACACTGAGAATAAGTTAATCATATGCTTAGACTTTTCATAATCCAATGCCAAAAGTTTGCCTTTAAACCTTGTAGCTGCAAAAATTTTATATATATATACATATACACACATATATATACGCTAGGTATATGTATATATGTACACACACACACTCTCACACACACATAGCTGTACACATACATACATAGGGGTATGTGTATTCACTCATACATTTATTTCTTTTCTGGTAGAGCTGTGTGGTTTGTATTTCACCCACTTAAGCTGCTGGTTTCAACTAGAAACAGGTCCTCCTGTGGGAGGAACAAGAAACTCAACCACTGGTGCAGATGTTTTGACTAGATAGGGACCTGGGTTTTATTAATGGCAAGAACAATACCCTGACAGCTCAGCATCTGATTTAATAAGCATCATCTTCTTAATTAGTTGGTACAGCTTTTGTAGTCTCAACCTCAAATGCATGTGGATCAACAGCAAGAAAGGAAGCAAATAAACATGCTTACCTTTTCTTCACATTTCCTGTGGCAGGCATACTTGCAAACTAAAACAAAAGCAAATAAAACATATGAGTACACAGAGTGGGTGGAATCTCCTCTCCATTTCTTTAGATCAGCTCTCTACTAGGGGGCTGGCTAAACTCAAGTCTGTAAAGTATTTACATACTTCAAAACAATAAAAACCCTAGAAAGAAATTAATTTAGTTTTTACTCATTCCTGAAAGATTCATTAATTACAGCAGTGTTATCAGATTTGTGCATACCATCAGCTTAGGGTAACATACCTAGTTAAATGTCATGGACTGATTATTTTCACACCTACCTTTACAGGTTCACATGCACAAGAAGTGTTACCATCTAAATAACACAGATAGTAAGATCAAAATGTTCCAAATGTAACCTGTGAATCTTAGCCCTGTCAGCAGTTCCAGAGACCTAAGAAAAGCAGGGTGACTTCAAACTCACAAGTGACCATGACTGCTCATGCTGGAATTTCTGCTTGTGAAACACATTTTACGTAGCCTTGCAAACATTACTTCCAAGAGGTAAGCACTTGATTTCTGCTAAATTCCTGCTGACCTAAGGAAAGGATGAACTACAGCAGCAGGTTTACATTCAGAAAACAGCACTTAAAGAGCAGTCAGATGAGCAGCAATGTAACTATGATGCAACAGTGTAATAGCTAGGATCCGAGACAGGCTGGGTTTAATAGATTTTCCATTTATATATGCTTCCTTTTTACTCTGAAATTTGCTTTCTTTCCATGCAAAGTCTATCCTTTGAGCTAAACTGTGTTATAAATTCAGGAATAATTTACTTATTCAAACTCCAAGACAGTAAGCAATAGAGAATATGCTGGGTTTGGCTGGAATAGAGTTAATTTCCTTCAGGTTTGCTAGTATGGGGCAATGTTTTATATTTGTGCTGGAAACAGTGTTGATAACACAGGAATGTTTTAGTTATTGCTGAGCAGTGCTTACACAAAGTCAAGGCCTTTTCTGCTTCTCCATCACCCCACCAGTGAGTAGGCTAGGGGTGCACAAAGAGTTGGGACGGGACACAGCCAGAACCAACTGACCAAAATGACATTCCATATCATATAGTGTCATCCTCAGCATATAGAGCTGGGGGGAAGAAGAAGAAATATAGGGACATTTGAAGTGATGGTGTTTGATCTATCCTTTGGTACCGGCTCATGCAAAACCAAATCACCAATGTCACCAACAATACACAAAAATCTTTATTAGAGACATAGATAACATATTAAATGCAGTCATTGAGTATTTTCAGTTTCCATGTCCATGAAAAGTCAGTTTGCTGCTCTTGTGTAACACAATAGCATTGTCTTTGCTGGAAAGAAACCACTGATGTGAGACAGAAGTTTAGCCTGAATAGCAACAAGATTGTGTTCTGCAGCAGCATCCCACTGGAACTCATAAAGCAACACAGAAATATGGCTTACAAACTCCATACACACTTGAAGGAAGAAAACTTCACAAACAAAACATTGCTGTATTTATGAGATTCAGAGGGAACAGACTAAAGCCTCCAAAAGTAACTAGCCAAATACACACCAGGCAAAGCTCTCTGACTGACTGAGATCTGATACATTCATAAAGACAGCTTCACTCCTCAGCATCCAGAAATACCCTATTCATATCTAAATCCAGCACTTTCATGGATTAGACTGAGTTAAGGCATTACCTTCTCTCCCCTCACTGTACAATAAAGCTGATTATGATAATAAAACTAGGAAGAAATAAGCACTCTGAAATGAGATCACTGACTGTCCAGATGCTGGGAACAAAGCATTCCTTTGTACTCAGAAGCAGAAAGGAGATTCTCCCCCTTCCCTCTTGGGTGAACATCAAACTGCTCATTGCATATGTTGCTCCTAAAAGCCCACCAGCTACATCCAACACGGAGCTGGATCCCCATCGTTAATAGATCCAAACACCAATTCCCTTTTCTTGACAGGTCTGAATTCTACTAGTAGACCAAAATCTCAATTCAGAACAACTAAACTTAAATGACTGAACCCATTTTGACTGTTCTTGGCATTTACTAGATGCCAAGTGTTCAAAGCATTTTGTGTAATCTACATATGTCTCACTGAGGTACAGCAGATGTCACAAGTTTTCCTCTGTTGGCAAGGTCTTTTTACACATATAAAGACCTATGTAAATATATGCATATAAACATTTATAAATATATATACACAGGCCTTTCCAATTTAACTATTCTGTAATTTTAGATGTGAACATATGTACACATAGGCATGCACATGTACACATACATAGACACACACTCCAAAAGCCACAAAAGTCTTGTTTGTAGTAAACATTCAACCACTTACTGAGACAAAATAAAAAATAAAAAGGCACAAAGAAAAAGGCTGTTAGCACAAAACATTGCTTAGGAATTAACAACACCTGATTGGAAGAAAGAGAGTACAACTTGGATCACCAACCCATAGCCAGTTAGCAATGCCTAGATGGTAATTCCTACCAACAGTTCTGTTGCTTGTGTGGTCAAGTCTTGAGAATAAACTTCTAGGTTTTTACAGTACAGACAGAGGTAAGTCAAGAGTACTTTTCAAGTAATTTGCCTTTATTTCCCACACCCATCATCCATTCTCCAGAAGGGAAGGGAAAAAAGTAAAATCTGTATGTATACACGGGGGGGGGGGGGCGGCAGAGGAGGGGAGGAATTATCAGCAGCAACTGAAAGAAAGGGAAGTCTCCAAAAAATACCATGAATTGAGTATAAGGAAGCATGCAGGCACATAAGAAAGAGTTAATGGAACAAGGGCCATTCTGCAGCAGCTACAACTATCCAAGTATCCAAGCACAGAGGAGTCAGAGAAGAGAAGCACCACTGCCTTTCCAGGCACATCCTTTTCCAATGCAATTCATACGGTTTTCTCCACTACAGCCACTAACACTATGAACAGTGAGAGATCCCTTCACCCAACACCACCCAGCAAATTAACCACTCACCCACAAAGAAAAATCTATTTATTTCATGTTCCATTACTCTGAATTCATCTTACCACAGCTAATGCTACTGCTTCACAGAACTATCCTGCTTGGATGGTCGCACCCCCTCAGTCCAAGGCTGGTTTTGTCTCTGCCTAGCCACCCGCAGTATTTGCAAAGAGATGGATTACCTCGATCATTTGATTGTCAGAAGCTGAATCACTTTTCAATATGCCAGCTCTTGTCATGGAAAACTCTGAGTAGTAGAGAGATCAGAACGTTTCTAGTGCCAAAAAAGCAGTATTCTACCAAAATCATGCAGCCTGTGCCTTTTCAGTGCAACAAACATGTAACAAAAAAACCATAGAAACAACATACTCAGAGCACATCAATTACAAAGGAAAATACATGCAACTTACAGTTAAAAGATCTCAACAAGCAGCTTCTACCAAATGTTGGCATTCTTCAGGCAAAGCTTACAAGGGAAATAGCACTCAGCTCTTTTCAGGACTACAGCCCAAGTGGATTTGAATTTAAAAATGCGCCTGAAACAGTCCAGAGGACTTAATCAATGTCACACTCAGCAAGGCTACTTCAGTTCTTCAAGTGAACAGCTGAATGTCTGCATCCCACACATCAGCTCTCGTCAAATACCAGACTTTCCAAATTTGTGTTTAAGGATTCTGGCATCACTTCCAAGAACAACTGTCCCAAGCTGGCTGGTAATGTAATGGAGCCCAGGCCATATTTAGTCAATTTACTACACATCAAAACAGTTCCTAAACAATAGCTCTGAGAATCCAGTTTGTTAAAAGTGAGAGAAAGATGGGAGGAGGGAAAATAAAAATAAAAGACTGCTTTGTATAAATAGGCAGGGGTATTGACTCCTGGAAGTTAACAATACTGCTGCCCGTATGTAGGCAGAAGGGTAAGCACTGAAGAGTATGTTTCAGACTTAAGCTCCAAAAACTTTCTATGAAAGGAAAGTTCCGCTTTTTACATTCATGCTCTTTGAAAACCAGAAACAATGTATTTACAAAGTAAAGAGACTACTTCTGTAAACCAACCACAGAAGGATTCCTGGTTTACCAGGACAAGGTTACGTTCTCCTCTGATAACAGCTACTCATCTTGTCACATTTTAGCATTTAATGGATGTACGGTATAGCAATATAGTGCATATATGCCAGACAAACATCCTGCAGTGCATATTAAAACATGACTAGTTCATAAGGTCAACCTCACACTTAACTATGACTTTTATCACGTGATTTTCCATGGTGGGGTGTTGTGTGTTTGTTTTAAACAACTCTGTGTAAGGCATGGGTACAAACAAGGTAATTCAGAAATCCTCTTGGGGCAGAAACTGTGTAAAATACAGAATCTAAGGGATGTACCTCAGTTTAATACCTCACTAATCCTCAAGAAATGTCACTTGCTCTTGACATTAACTTTTAACTTCTTATGATAAATTATGATACCAAATTGTAATTTATACAATACAGGCCTAACTGCTTTAAAGATCATTTCTTTCCCTCAGCATCTCCAGCTCAGGTTCCCCAAAACAGACACATACTATTCCAGCTATTTTTTTACAGGAAGGGAAGAGTCCTTGATGATCCACCACAAAAACTAATCTAAACAAAGCATATAAAGATTTGCATAATCAAGATATGGGCTGTGTGTATTTAATCATTTTGTCTAATCAAACTTTGTTTTTGTGGTTCCCAATTCCAGTCTTTTCTCTGAAGGTGGGTGTCAAGAGTGTCACAGAAGCAGTAAAGCCCAGCCGTTTTAGTAGTAAGCCTGGTGATACCACTACTGAGCAACATCTCCTTCCTGCAGGGAATGTTTTGCACAAAACCCCAGCTCTGTCACTGGCTCTGAAGATGTGTTGGTATGTCAAGGCCACCACAACAGGGTCTTCTGCAGACAGCTTGGTACAGAAAGACATCCATGACCAAAATGTCCCAAATGGAGAGAACTTTACAGCTTGCTGGCTGTTTATATTTTGACTAGGGTTTAATAACACTGTGATCAGACTACTCGAGGAAACTCTCACCAACA